TCTGACCCGGGGCTCCAGCCTCCCCCTGAGCCCGGAGACCGCCCGGGAGCTTCCGCCCGCCGCGGCCGGAGTCCTCGCCCGCCGTGGATGCTGACCCCTCCTTCCTCAGTACTAGGAGGGGGCTGGGCAGCCCTCGTGCCCCTGAACCAGACCCTGTCAGCATTCAGGAGCCGCCCCCTGAGCCCCGGGCCAGGTGGCCTACCAGGAACCTGCACCCGCCTCTGTTCTGTTAGTCTCTAGTCCATCCTTTGCCCCAGGGCTGGGGGCCCCCACTCATGATGAGCCCTTGCCCACACCTTGACTCCCACCAAGCTGGAAATCCCCATTTTCCCGGATGACCTGCACCAACTCTAGGATTCTTTTCTTGAAGACCCTGGACCAGATTCCTGTGCCCCAAACCTGGAAACCATGGGCCTGCCCTTCCCTGGCACCCCAAATCAAGAGCCTCCTTGTTGGGCCCCTGAAATACCACGCTTTGAGTTTCACCCTGACTCCCAAACCTGGGATATGTCCTGGCCCTGGGACCCATGCTGGGAGCCCTCAATCAACCCCTGGGCTCCTGCCCCCCAAAGCCTCCAGCTCCCAGCTCCTACCTGGTTTCGGTTTGTGATTCATCACACCCTGTGATTCATCAAACCCGTCCTGCTCTGCCGGGAGGGGGAGGGTGGAGGGGCCAGGTGAGCAGCTGTCAGCCGCGGGAAGCAGCTGCGTGGGCTGGCTTGGCCCTCTCCCCAGGGCACGGAGGGAGGAAGGGCCTGAGCCCAGTAAGCCCTGAGCCCCGTGTTCTGGAACAGAACCTGGAAAACGATGAGGATGGAGCCCAGGCGCCTCCGGAGCCAGATGGGGGAGTCAGCACCAGGTCAGGGCCAGGTGGGGACCCACCCATACTCACGGCCAGGCCTCTGCCTCCCATCAGTCCTCCACCTCACCTCCCTCAGCCTCACCAACCTCCTTAAGGGGTTCCTCGCTGATCCCCACTCCTCCCCTGTGTTCCCCTGTCCTGCAGGGTCACCCTACCCTAGTACCCATCTCACCTACCCACCCCCACCAAGCTCTTTATCCTGCAGAAAACCCAGCTTGGTCTGGCCCCTACCTCCCCACAGGTCACTTGTCCTGCAGGAACCCCCAGCCTTCTACCCCAGTCCTGCAGGAACCCCCAGCCCATCCCTCCCCCTCCTCTGCCATATCACCATGACTTCTGTCCCAAAGGGACCCCTTCTTTGCCTCTCTCTTCCCTCTCACTGGGCCCACCTGCCCTGCAGGGATTCTGGCCGAACATCCGTCCGCAGCTCCCAGTGGTCCTTTAGCACCATCAGCAATAGCACCCAGCGCTCCTACAATGCCTGCTGCAGGTGAGGTCCCGCCCTTCTTGAGCCACCTGTGGCAGAGCCCAGGACAGGCCGCCCTGGCTGTTCCCCTCAGTCCTCTGGGTCAGGGAGGGCGACAGAAGAGGGTAAGCCTCCTGTTGCCTCTTTCACATCCATCCTGCTCTCCTGCCCCCCAGCTGGACTCAACACCCTTTGATCCAGAAGAACCGAAGGGTAGTGCTGGCCTCCTTCCTGCTGCTGCTGCTGGGGCTGGGTGAGTGTCCTTGAGAGCCCCTGGGAGGGGGTCTGCCCTTCTTCCTGCAGGCTCTGCATTCCCTTGGCACACAGCCTCCCAGCATCCTGAGGAGGCAGCTCGCTGCCATCACCCCACTCCTATTTTTACAGGTGAGGAAACTGAGGTCTTGAGAGGGAAAGGCCCAGCTTCCTGGTCCCACAGCCAGGAAATCACACACAGATGAAAATGGAACCTGGTTCAGTGTTCCAAACTTTTTTTTTTATAACTTAACTTGTTTAATCCATTTATTTTGTGTCTACTTCAAACCAGGTGTGGGGTAGACTTATTTCCTCCTCTTACAGAGGTCACACAGCAAGGAAGAGGTAGGGCCAGATGCACAGGGAGATGCCTGTTCCCATGGCCAGGGATGCTGTGTGCCCTGTCAGCCTGATCCACAGGACACCTGTCACTCCCCGTTCTGTGGAGTCTGAGAGCTGACAAGGACCTGTCCCCATTGCCCAGATGGGAAAACAGGCCCAGAGTAGACAGATCTCATAGCCCGATGTTTTCTGACTCCCACACTTTTCATTCTATGGGGCTGAGGAGTCAAGGTCTCCAGAAAGTTTCTAGGGTTAGGATCAAGAGGGCCCCATAAGGAGGCCCCCACTGTGGCAGCCACCTTTCCTCCTCCAGGAAGAACAAGTGCCCTGGACAGAAAGCTGAGTGGGGTCCTTGCCTCAGCTCTAGTGTCTGTGTGCAGAGGAGGGCGCTCCCACTTCCCCAACACCCGCTCACAGGGCACTGGTCACACTAGCCACCTGCCTTATCTCACTTGACCCTCTCAGCACCTAACAGGGCAAGCACAATTACCATCCTGGTCCTGAAATAAGGACACAAATTCATGCAAGTGAAGGGACTCCCTCAGGTCACAGCTAAGAGGTAGACGAGCTGAGACTTAAACCCACATCAATGACATTGCCAGGCCTGGGGGCCACCAAAGGCCCATAAAGGGCCTTTGTAGGAATTAGAAAAAGATGCCTACTCTGAGTGAGCAGAGCCTGCAGCCCGAAGCCAGGGTGCAGGGGGTGAGTTTCAGCCCCCATTATGTCCTTTTTGAGGTGCTCTGTACTAGGCACGAACCACACAACAGTTCCTAGTGGCCCCTCAAGTCTCCCCGGTTGCTGCAGAGCCCACCTCCCCCCACCTCCTCCCATCCCATCCTCTACCTGGGGACCCAGGACTCTCTCTGGGCCTGAAAAGTTGATCTAGCCATGACCTCCCCACTTTCCCCAACATCCACTGTCCTCAGCCAAAGTCCACATCTGTCTCCTGGGCCTACAGGCCCTGCCAAACTCCTCAAGCCTGGGCTTTTGTCTCTGCAGTCTCACCAAAAGCTGGAAGCCCCTAGAAAGCCCCCAAATTCCCCACAGTCTGGAATACTCCTGTCTGGTCAGATTGCCACCACCTTCCAAGTGCAGCCCTGAGCAAGTTACTGTCCCTCTCTGTGCCTCAGTTTCATCTGTGAAATGGGGATAATACCTCTTGTCATTCAGTCAAGGTGATGATTAAATAAGGTGTGCAGGTAACGCCCTCAGCCAGGGTCTGGCAGCGCCTAGCAAGTGGCTGCTAAACGTTAAGCACTATTCTGCTGCTACCCCTCAGCTCCCATGCCTCTGCCTCCAAGCAGCTCCTCCCTGAGCGCCCAGGTCCCATGGTGTCTGATCTTACCCCCATGTCCCGACCAGTGGGGCAGAGGCCCGGGGGATCCTGTTGGCTGCTTTACTGGGGGAGGCCATGGGGCAAGGACCTCTTCCGCCTCCCCTGCAGCCCGCAGGGACTCCCAGTGCAGGTGCTCCGTGAGTGTGTGCTGACTGATAGCCCCCAAGGAGAGACGACAGGTCTCTCCCGACAGACGCTTCCCGGGGCCTCCAGGGCCTCGCTCTGAGCACAGAGCCGGGCGAGCTTCCACGGGGGCCTCCGCCCGGGGAGGCTTCGGCTCAGGCGGGGACACCGTTCCTCAGGCCGAGCCGCGCCGGGGGCTGCGGCTGGAGGGCCCAGCGCCGGCCCCCGTCCCCGCCCTCACGCTCGCGGCTCCGTCCGCAGTGCTGATCCTGACCGGCGTGGGACTGGAGGTGGCCCCCGCTC